TACTCCTTTCTGTGAGGGCAACAGGGAGGGGAAGGCCGGATGGACTGTGAGAACCTTCCACAAAGGGGTGGCAGCAGAGTCTACCTCCTTTCCTCAAATGCACCGTCCCTGTGCCAAAATCAAAGGAAGCCAGTAAGTCCTGCCAGCATCTCTCAGGGCTGTAGGCTAAGGAGGGTGTGACCACCCATCCAAGAGGCCCTACCTCTGCCTGGTGCTCTGGCACCCTTGCTTAGGCAAGACTCTGGATCCCAAACCCAAGCCCTAAGAGGAGATGTGCTGCTGAACACCCAGATGACTGCGAGGACTTATCACACCTCACAGGAGGCTGAGAGCGACACAATGAACACCAGTGTGTGATGCCAGGCTCCAGTCCACATGGCAGGGCCTAGGAAACCTGGCCAGTGTGAAGTGAAGCAGCCTCACTTCAAAGAGGATGTCTACAGGCAGGAGGGCACCCAGGATGCTCTGGGATTTTGAAGTCAGTTCATTAAAAGAGGAGGCTGCTTAGCCCGGAGAAGCATAGACCCTCAGAGGGCCAGATCACACTCTTCAAAGAGAAGAGGCCAACATCAGAGAGAGTGGAGGAGGCCAAAGTCTTATTCATGTATATATACATGGAGTAGCCATAGGCTCAAGGATTCTTAGAGCTCAATGGACCTCTAAGGCCAACCCCCACAGAACGTGCAATAAGGGGAAGTTTTCTGTGTATCTATGTGTAGTTATACATGTACTCATCTAGTACACACTTGAGCTTAAGGAAGATCACTCAAGCAGTAAGTCTCAGAGAGAAGCCCCACTGGAGCAAAAAGCTTAACAGTTTTTTTTTTTTCTTTATTGATTTTTAGAGAGAGAGGAAGGGAGAGGGAGAGAGAGACAGAAACATCGATGAGAAGGAACAGTGATTGGCTGCTTCCTGCATGCCTCCCACTGGGGATCGGGCCCACAACATGGGCATGGGCCTTGACCAGGAATCAAACCAGCAACTCCTTGATGCATGGGTCAATGCTCAGCCAGAGCTACACCGGCCAGGCACGAGGGGAATAGCTTATTCAATCGCCAACAAAACCAGCTTCAAGCACAATATCCCAAACCAGGAGACCATCTGTTTTTGCCGTACACTGAAACCACTGGCTTTGTTGGCTAGTCTGCCTACCTGCATGCTGGATGGCTGACAATGTCCCAGTGTGCCTAAGACCAGTGCACGAGGCTTGCTGGGGTTGCACTGCAGCCCCAGAAGACAAAATCAAGAGCTTGGGGTGGAAGGAGGGCCCTGGGAGGCAGAGTGGGCAAAATGGGGGATGAGTGTTTCTATCAGTTGTAGCTACTGAATCATGGGCTTGGTTGCTTTTAGTGAGCTCCGGGTCAACGCAGAGCAACAGGAGAGGGTGGGCTGACCCCCATCGTAGATGTTGTCAAGGAGATTCCTGTTCAAGGTAGGCTGTTGAGATACCTCTGTGGTCTCTGCCTATTTGGGAATTCCATAGTGCTCTTGTTCCTAGAACTTTGAGAATGGGTGACGTGGAAGCAGTGGGTGTGGGGAGACCGTGTTCACCACAATGTCAATTAACCAGAATGGTCTGTGCTGTCCAATGGAGGCTCCTGGGGAAAGAAGCTATCCTCAAGCAAGAGGGACCTAAGTAGAGCATGCGTATTTATTTTTCCTGGGTTTTTCCTCTTTGTAGCACATCTGACCATGAGCAAGGAGTTGCACATAAGACACAGTTGTTAGTCACATGGACGAGGGACCCTGAGGAGCCCATTATCACAAGCCCCCTTGCAACTGAAGTGTCACAGTACTTTAGGACAGCCAGCCTTCAGGTGTGGCTCCTAGAGCTTTGAATGGTGTTTGATTTAAATGGTGGAAGATTCAGTGGTTCTGGTCCCACAGGCTGGAACACAGAGATGAAGGATGGTACCTTTGACCATGAATGGTGGTTCTCAACCTGTGGGTCATGACCCCTTTGGGGGTCAAACGACCCTTTCACAGGGGTTGCCTAAGTCATAACAGTAGCAAAATTGCAGTTATGAAGTAGCAACAAAAATAATTTTATGGTTGGGGGTCAGCACAACATGAGGAACTATATTAAAGGATCATGGCATTAGGAAGGTTGAGAGCCACTGCAAGTTAGGTGGAACAATAGGATGAAAGAAACCTGGTCTCTCTGTTACAACTGCCAAATCCACAGAACCTGTTTGTGCACCCCTGTCACTCACCTTGTTCGGTTTAATCAGACCTCTGATTAGGAGTTGACATCCACTCATGAACTGATTTGTTCATTGTCTGGTCCCTGCTCTCTCCGAATGCAAGCTTTATGAAGACAGGGCCTTTTGCTCACCTTCTTCAATGTAAGACCCATGAAACCAGGATGGTATCTGCTACCTAGAAGGTGCTCAGTAAGCGTTTGCAGTTGCATGGAGGACAATGGTGGTATGACAGTAAAGGCGATGATGAGGAATAAAGCTGAGGATGGGCCTTTGGACTTAGCTGCAACGCCATCTAACCTTTTCATCAATTCTCAACACCCTGTGGGGAGAAGGGTGCATAAAGGGCTCAGCCTCTAGCAGAGAGCCATGTCCAAGTCTGTTGAGGGTGAATTCAAGTCAGATGTATTCTATGGCTGCTGGTCCTTTCCTGTCCTCACCGCAATCCCTGAGAACAGCCCAAATTGTAGTTCTCAAATATGTGTGGAGTAAAAGAATAACAGATGTGAGCTTTGGCCACAAGAAGAGCCTTAGGCCAACCAAATTCACCCACATTAGCGCTTCATCACCGGGCCCCAAAATTAGACTTCAAGATTCTAGAATCAAAGTGAGTCAGTTATTATTAGCTAATAACGGATCATTTCACCAAAAAAATAGTTTAGCCACCAAGAGATTTTGCTTGTGTGTCAATGTGGGTGTGAAAACATTTGTGTGTCAGTCTGCATGTGTGCATGAGCATGTATATTATGTATTAAGTGTGTGCACCCTTGCAAAGGTATGAGTATGTGTGTGTGTGTGTGTGCGTGTACATGGTTGTGCACATGTGACTGTGTGGGCATTTCAATGCCATTGTGTGAGTATATATGAGTGGAACTGTGCAAATGAATTCTTGGTTCCAGAATCTGGGTTTCCTCTAGTACTATTTTCCTGGTACACACCCAGTTGATCCTCTTTCTTTTCCTTTCTTCTCAGAAATCCATTACTGAAAGGTTTTTACCCGCCTCCAGGGGGAGGGGGCTGGGGGAAAGGGAAGCTAAAATCACAAGGCCCAGATCAAAACACTCAGCAGCTCAATGAATTCACAGCGTTTTCCCGCATGACTTGGAGGGATAATTTAGAGAGGTCGCCAGCTGGAAGGAAAGGGATTAATTCTGCACTTAGCACAGTTCTGGTGAATAATTCATCACCAAGATCTTTGTGCCCAGCCCCTGGGCAACAGGGAAAGTGTCCTGCCCACCTGCCTGTTGCCTGCCTGGATCCCCCAGTGCCCTGATCACCTGATGCTCCTTTGGGTCCTCAGAACACACTTGCCCCAGTGAAAGGGCAGGAGGCAGGGAGAGGTGAGGAAGGGGCTCTGACATTTTTCTCCAAGGACTCTTTTCCCCCTTTCTTGGGGTCTTTTGCTGCTTCTGTGTCCTCCCTTCTCAGTACCTTCTGGGTCCTGCACCTGGTTTGGTGGTGGGGGGATGTGAGGTTGTGGAACAAACTGTCTCACCAGCTATCCGGGGACAGCCTAGAGGGCAACGAGAACACAGCACAGTGGAGATGCTGGGGGAGCTCTCAGGCTTTGTCCATAGACACTTGCAGGCGGGTTCATTCTCTGATACACACTCCTTACCCCACACCATAAAATTCCCTGTGTTCTTCATGAGTAAGGTCACAGGGCCAAGTATTACCCCAGAGCTGGTGGCTATTTTTCCTGGCATGGGAAGCTGGCAGCAGTGGGCTGACCCAGACATCAGCTCCTGCCATCATTTCCTGGGTTCATGGTTCTAAACTGCCCACATTCCAGCTTTGTGCCTGTCTCAGCACCACAGAGGGGGCAGTGGAAAAGTCCAGCAGGTGCCTGTAAGGCACACTGAAGCCAAATGACGGGGACTCAGAGCCCAGGTAGGGCTGGAGAAAAAGATCTCATCCATCAGGCAGGGCTCAGCCCCTGGTATTTTCCACTTGGACCAGCCCCGCTGTGGTAGGCATCATTCCCACATCGGGCCCCCAGGAGTCTGCATCCTGATTCCTGGGGCCTTCGTGCACGAGCTGCCCTTTGTGCTTACATTATATGACCCGGTGCACCCGAAGGTGGGAGTGGCCAAACCACATGAGCCCCTTTAAACAGAGCATTTTCTCTGGTTGCTCACAGAAGAGGAAGTCAGAGTGTTGAAGTTCAGGGGGTTTAACGTGCTGCTTGAAGATGGAGGAGGTCACTGTGAGAAAGAGAGGGCAGCCTTCCGGAGCTGAGCGAGGCCCCTGGCTGACAGCCAGCGAGAAAACAGGGACCTCAATCCTACAACTGCCAGGAACTGGATTCTGATGACAACCGAAATGCGGCTAGAAGCTCAGTCTTCCTATAGTCTCCAGAAAGGAAGGCGGCCCTGCCAACACCATGATTTCAGCCATGCCAATTGCAACAGTTGGAGCTCATGAGTGGGTATTGCTTTAAGCTGCTGAGTTTGTGGCGTTTGTCATGCCGCCGCAGAAGCTGATGTCCTAGTTCACCCTGTGGAGCCTCAAACCCAGTGATCCAGGCTTGGCTTAGACGGGGTTAGAAGCTAACTCCCAGGTCTGGTTGGCTCTCTCCACTCTCCTCTTTCTAATCTAAGCTTTCTCTCTGGTTTTCTGGAGCCTCAAATCACCCTCAGACATTTCTATCCAAAGCAGCAGTCTCCCCATTCCTGAAGCCCCTGACCTCACTCCTGAACAAGGCCAGCAATTGTGAAGGAGGCTCAAACCCACTGAGGGGCTGCGGGAGGTGGCCCGTGGCTTCCAGGCCCGGACTTTCCCCTGACCTTCAGCCTTACCTCAGAGGAAAGCAGCTGAAAGGAGAGATCCACTGTGGGGGCCTCACCACTTATGGTTTTCAGCTTGGTGTCCTGGAAAGAAAGGAGCAGTCAGACCACTGTCCAGGGCAGCTCCCGCCTCTGCTCTGCCCACTCTTCTGTATTTCTCAGGAAGGCGCCCGCCGAGGGCTGTGCCCAGAGAGCTGAGGGAGGCAGGAACTGGTCTCCTTCCTGATCCACCGTCACCGCCTCTGCAGACCCTTCCAACTCCACTGGAGACCTGACTGGCACCTTCAGACTTGCCTCCTGGCAGATTAGGGATGCTCCCATTTGTGGAGCCATGACTGTGTGGCCAGAAGTATTTTAGTAAAAAAGGTGGCAGAGAAGTAGACAATGATGACAATAATGTAGTGATTCTTATTGAGAACTTATTCTGTTCTAAGTGCTTTACAGGTATTTCCAAAAAAAAAAATCTCACAGCAAACCTATGAAAAAAGTACTATTACTGTGAACCCATTTTATTTATTTATTTAAAAAAAATTTTTTGTGTGTGTGGTATGTGCCCCTAGCAGGAACTGAACCTGGGACTCTGGTCTGCAAGCCGACGCTCAACCGCTGAGCCACACTGGCCAGGGCCTGTGAACCCATTTTTAAAGACAAGGAAACTGAGGCACTGAGACTTTAATTTCCCCACAGTCATGTAAGCTGGTAAGTGGTGGAACTGGAATTTGGACCCAGTCAGTCTGGCTCTTGAGCTTGGGCTCTTGATTTCTGTTAAACAGAGAGATGGTATACAAACATGTTCCCATTTTAGAGATGGGCACTGTGAGGTTCAGAGAGGTCAAGTAACTTGGCCCAGCTTCTACAGTGAGGACTAGGGCAAGTCAGGATTTGAACTCTGGTCTGGCTGGTTAGAAGCCTGAGCTCTTGCTGCTATCCCATGGGGCATCCCTGTGCTTCTCCCCAAGTTGTTCTGGGGCAATTTCATCATAAGCCCAAGGGTAGGACTGACTTTCGGTGTTTGGGGATACTCCTCTCACCTGACAGCGATCAGCTCCCAGGGTGGTGGGGAAGGGGGATGCCTGCTGGGAGCTGCCGGAGAAGCCAGATTCCCCTGTGTTGGTGAGGCAAGGTGGAGTAGGGCGGTGCAGGGTGGGACAGGGTGGGCCTGCCCAGGGTGGGGAACTCACGGTGATGGGGAGCCTCTCTATTCGCAACCCATTCAGGCCTTTCCCTCTCAGCATCCTGCGGTACAGACAGCTCTTTAATGGCAACACGGAGACGCCCAAGGGTTTGCTGAACGTCCAGGACTCACCGCCTTTCACTGCAGTGGGGAAGCAGGAAGGACAAACTGGGCTCCCACCAAAGTGCCCACCCCAGGCTTCTCGGATCCCAGCCCCACCTGGGCCTATCCTTTGCTACCCAACACTTAGTTATCTCATCCCTCACCACCCACATGTTGCCCGTCTTCTGGCTTTGCCTGCACAGATATCCTCTACTCTTCAGGGCTTCCTGAGTTTAAGGCCAGCTCTAAGTGTATTCCTGTCTCTGGGTATTTATATGGATCTCCCTTGTCCCTGTTCTTTGGGGGCTTCAGTCTGATAGTGTGGACTGAAGACTGTGGATCAACAGTTCTCTGAATCTGTCTCCTCCCCACACCCAGGATGTAAGCCCTGAGGGCTCTACCTCCACCCACCTCACTGAGAGGTGCGTGGGGAGGGGTGGAGGTGCAATAAAAACACATAGACCTTGCACAGGAATCGGGCCCCCACCCCAGAGCTGCCATGTGGACGAGGAGCCAGCCAGGTACTCCCCTGCCTGTGTGCACACACTAGGAGGTGGTGCTGGAACCCACTCCTGCAGGAGGTAGAGGCAGGATGGTCTGAAATCCTTTCACGTGTATGTCCTGATGCGTGGCTTCCCTGGCATGGCTGTCCTGGTGTGGCACGAGGGGCACTTACTTGAAGCTGAGGAGTAGTACTCCAGCACCAGGGCGGCGTCTTCTGAGAAGCTGGTGGCTCCGTCTCGGCCTTGGAAGAGGAAGGACTGATTCCACAGGGGCAACTCTGGGGGTCCCCCGGGCTTGGACAGCTAGAAGGAGAAGGTGGGAGCAGATGATGGGGCACAGCTCTTCCCCAAACAAGGGGTGTCCGGATATTAGGTGGTGTACAAATCTATACATGCCACAAACTTTTGTCTCAACTGTAAAAGCAACACACACTTAATAAATTTGGGAAAATACAGAAAGGTAGAAGGATAAAAGAAAGCCCTATACTAAAGACAACTTCATAAGACTACATTTTTTCTAGTTTTTCCTATGACTCTTTTGTATATAACTGTTTTTTCTAACAGTCTGCTTTTTTCATTTGCCATGAAAACCTACACATGTCCGCAGTCAGAAGTAACACTTGTTCCCAGGATGTCAGCAGCTGGAGATTCTGTAATGCCCAAGTGCCCTGGCTTCTCCCTTCCTCGTTTCCCTGTAGTAACACTACATTGAACATTCTCTGACATGTCTCTGTATCTCAGAATATTTCCTTAGTACTCAAAATGGAAATCTGAGTTAAAGAAAACATATTTTAAGGCACTGGACTGATTGTGGGTAGACTTTTCCTAAAGTGTTGCACTGACGTTCACACCCATGGCTGGTGGTGTCATAGATGCCAAATTAGACAGGACCTCGACCCTTGTCAGCAGCCCCACACAGGTTTCCCAGCCCCTTTGCAGAGGCCATGACAGGTCTTCATTGGACCTTCAGGGGACTGAATGACACAGTAAGCCAGTGCTATTTAAACAGTACTATTTAAGACAGCATTAACTATAGCCTCCAAATAAGGGGCTGAGACTCCTGGGAGTGGTCAGAAAGCCATCCTGTAGGAAGAGGGACCAGTGGAAAGCTCTGAAGGAAGATTGGCAGAAAAGGGGGGAAAGGAAGGTCTTCTGGGTGGGAAAACAGCCCCAGCAAAAATGTGGAGGTGGCACCAAGCATGGCTTGGGTGGGGAATGCCTGTGTCAATGAGGGACTCCAGGTGGAGGCCCAGCTTCTGCAAAGGCCGAAATGGGGGGAGTGGGGAATGAGACATGGGGGTGTCAGGCTGTAACCCCAGTAGGCAGTCCTGCACATCCCAACACTGGGAGGGGCTGGCGGTCACTGATGCAGACTCCAAGTGGCTGTCTTGCCTCTGCCCTCAGCCAGGGGCTGTCGGCAACAGCAGCAGCCGCTCCCACCTCCCTTTCCCCTGCGGGAATCAGTCATCACTGGAAAGGTCAGCACAAATGCACCGCTGGCTCCAGGGGCTATTGATGCAGGATTGCAAAAAAATCAGTGTGTGTCTACTCCCCCCACGGTGGCCGGGCCCTGATGCCTGTCACTCTAATGTGTCTGCTCCAGCTCTCCTAAGCCCAGCCCAAGGCTCAGCTGTGTCTGCCCCTGACCCTCCCCATCGGGAGATGGGCTGCAGTTACTACAGGGCCTGAACACGAACAGTGCCTGGGGTGATGGGAGTGTTCCTGAGAGCAAGGTACAGCGGCAGCACCCAGACAGCCACTTGGCCATCAGGCCAGGCTAGAGAAACTGCTTCTGGGTTCTGTGGCACTTGGGAGTGACCTTTTAGGATTGAACCCCAAACCAAAGCCACCCAATTTTCCTGGGTGCCAGAAGGGTACCCACATAGCCTGGACCATCTGCCTGGCACTGGAGCACTCAAGGACCTGTGATTTAGTCCTCCTGCTACCCTAGCCCTTGCTTCCACCCCGGCCAGTCATGGGTCTAAATGAAGTCTACGAAGTCAGCAATGATGTCTGCCCGCCCAGTATAGACAGCTCCTACCCTGAATGACTTCCCAGGATGAGTCCCCAGAAAAGATACTTTAGTCCCCAGGAAAGACCTAGAACTGAGGAAAGAAGGTCAGTCTCTCTTGTGTGTGTAATGGGCAGGAGGTTGGGATGGGGAGAGCAAGGAATTAAGGAAGGAATCAAGGTTAGACCACCTTCACAATCTGATGCCAGGGCCCTGGTGAAGGTGCTGGTGGCATATGTGGGGGTGGGGCTGAGGAGGGTGAAGGGGAAGCCAATTCCTGCAGATGCTAACAGGAAAGGCCATGGGACTATGGAATTAAGGAGTGTGATTAATCTTCAGCTGTGATCTTCAGGAAAGCCATTAACCCCCAGCCACTGAGGCAGACATGCCTTCCCTGGAGACAGAGTCTTCATTACATGGCCCCCGGTCTCTCCTTCCATTTGCCAGGGCCCATCACGCCTACAGCCGCGCCCTCACTGCCTGTTCTGCTCAGGCACAGGGCAACTGTCCTGGGAAGATTAGTTGCCAACGGCTGATGCTGGGTGGGGCCTTGAGGGAGCTAGGATGCCTTGGCTTGGGGCCTAGGTCTATCTTAACCTTACTGTATGACCTTTGGCATGTCCCTTCCCCTCTCTGTAACTTAGATTTGTCACCATCCAATGTCTTATGCTCCATGCCTTGATAAGCTGTTGTGAGGGTTGAAGGAACAATAGATATTTTGCTATGAAGGTGAAAGTTCAATCAAATTGAACTCAGTAAATGTTGACTGGGGGCTTCTCCATGCTTAGATGCCTGTGGGGTGCTGAAGGGCATATGGGGGAGTTAGAGCCAGAGCCTGTTCCCCTCTGGAGCTCATCATCTTCCAAGGAGATAGAAACCAACCTCCATTTCCCCACCGTGATCCAAACAGATTCCTAAGCAAGTTGTGGATTATGGGAGCTAGGAAGTCAAAGGAAGAAGCAGTGGTTTCTGACCTGGGGCACCTAAGATCATGCAGTAGGTAAGGAGAGGGAAGACCATTCAGGCTCAGAGTACAGCAGAGGCGAAGACTGGATGGTGGGAGAGGACAGCATAGCTATGGAGAGCAGCCAGTCACCCAGGAGACTAGAAAATACCTGTGAGGCTTGATCAGTGAGCTGGGAGGCTGGAGAAATTTATCTGGCTGTTCTGTTGGTGGCAGGGACAAGGATTCCAGGGGGAGGGCCTAGCTCTGGTCATTGTGGCTGCTTCTCACAAGATGGATGGGAGGGGCCTGAGTGGAGGCTTGGCTAGCAGTGGGGCAGGATCTGTGGGATGGCAAGGAGCCCCTGAGAGGTTGGGTACAGACTGGCTGTGGGGGTTGAGATAGGAGGAGATGACACTGGGCACAGACACCTTCTCTCCCCACTGTTTGTGTGTCATCGGCCAGAAGCTCTGCCTCAGTTCTGTAGGAGTCTAGGCCAATAGGAGCAATCTGTTGGGCAACGTACCCCCTCAAAGGTCCTGGGGGCAGGGTAAGAGTAAGTCCTAAGTCCCACCTGTGCTGGGCCCAGCAGACTCATTAGAGGTCCGATTTTGCCATTATTCCCAGGCTTCGAGAGGGGTGAGCAGACACTGAGGGCCACTTTCCTCTCAACCATTCCCCTCCTTCCTCCTAGCCAACTGAACCCACTCTGGGCCAGGTGGCCCCTTTCTCCATCCCTGTGGCATTAGCTACTGCAAGGTGATGCCTGAACCCCCCAGTGATTGGCTGAGAGAAGTGCATGTGACCTAATTCTTGCCAGTGAGATGAGAGGGGTGGTCTGCCAGGGGCTGCAGGGAGGTTTCAAGTTCTTCATAAAGATGCATTTTCTCTGATCTTGGTCATGTCTAGATGGGATGCTGCGAACATTTTGCCCACATGAGTTGTTTGCCAACCGAAGATGGCATTTTAGGGGTGTTGGAAAGATACTGAGGGTGTTGGAAAGTTCTTGAGGACACTGCTGAGCCAGCATATCAACCAATTCTGGGAGCATCCTACATGGGGGACCCTTGCAATGTGTGGCAATAAATCTCCTTAGAATTTAAGTCCACGTGAATTCAAGGTTCCTGTTACTTGTAGCCAAATGTGATCAGGGCAACGGCCAGGCTGGCCTCAGAGAGGCACTTGGCCCAAGGGAAGGGCAGCTCTGAAATGGATGGAACCCATTCAGCTTCCATCCTGGGCTTGGGCACTCTGCACAGGTGAGCCCTTTAAGGTCTCCTAACAGTCCAACAAGGTAGGAATTAGTAGGTCTGGAGAAATTGAGCAGCTTGCCAAAGGTCACACAGTAAGTCACAGTGCTGGGGTACAGCCTCAAACCCCTGCCCATGGTGCTTTGGCACGGTGGGCAGCTGGTGGAAAATCACAGTACCCCAAAATGTCAGAGAGGCAGATCCTAGAATTACCCAGTCCAACCTCACTGCCCCAACTAGAGCAAAGAAGGGACTGAAGCTCAGAGAGGGGACGGGGCAGGGGTCTGTGTGAGCTCTGAACCCAGGGCTGCTAACAGGTGGGGCTCTGCCCACTACCCACCTCTTCCACTTGTACCACAGAAGCTCACAGTCCCCCTCCCCCCACCCTGCACCACAGAAGCTCTCCTCTCATTGCTGGCACCTGGGCACCTCTGTGTTGGCTGCCAGTGAGCTCTCAACGTGGCCCAGTTGCCATGGCACCAAGTGACCTTCAACAAGTGTGTTGCCATCACTGGACCTCTGGCCTTGAGTCCCACACATGCAAGAGGCAATGGGGGACAGTCTCTATAGTAAGGGGTACCTCTCCCACCCAGACTGGCTGAGCAGCAAAGGCAGTCAGAGAAGAGCTGGGGGTGGAGAGGGGCTCACTCATTAAAGAAGTCAGTGCCTCCTGCCCCCTGGGATTGCCTGCTGATTGGTTTATAATTTTCTGGGCAATATGCAGGGCCATGTGTGAGATGACTCTGGGGAAATCAGGCCAAGGATTGGTTTGGATTTGAAGCCTCTGTCCCTAGGGTCCCCCTTTGTTCCACCCCTCTCCACCACCATTACTCTTGTTTGTGTCCATGCCTTTTTCAAATGTCTTTGCCTTAAATGAAGATTGTGGCTCTGAAGGGTGCCTTATTCTGTATTTGCCATGTCAGGCATGAACATCGGTGGGGAGACAACAGGAAGGACTTCCCAAGCACCCCTGTCTTCTTTAAGGCCCCTAGGAATGCTGGGACCATCTTGTGGGGCAAGCTCCTGCTGAAGTGTAGACCATGAGAAAAGATGAATCTGGCCATTTGTCTGCACACCCCTCCCCAACACACTTAGACACACTGGCCTCCTCTCCAACCCACACATGCGCCCGTACCTGCCACCTGTACTCCTGTTCCTGCTTGCCCTATAGCAACCCTCCCTACTAAAAACTCAAGTCTTGTAGCTGGATGCCCAGGCTTCAGATCCCTGTCACCTGATTAAAACAAGTTTTTTACTGTGGTGAAATACACACAACAAAAAATGTACCATTTTAGCCACTATTTCCAGAACTTTTTCAACATCCCAAACAGAAACTATATCATTAAACACTAACTGCCCGTTCTCCCTGCCCCTACCTAGTCCCTCGCAACCACCATTCTACTTTCTGTCTTTCTGAATTTGCCTACTCCGGGTACCACAGGTAAGTGGAATCACAATATTTGTCTTTTTCTGTCTTCTCTCCTCTGATGTTTACAACTCTGACAGTCCCGCCTGGTTTGTTATTAGATTATACATTATCTTGTGCTGATGTTTACCCTTTTCACCAGGCTGAGAGCTCCCTGTGGGCAGCTTCCACACACCACAGATGGCACACCCCTGGGCACATGGCGGGACCCGGTGAACTCAATAGTCAAGTGGATAGGACTGACTGACTGAGTGGCTGACTGAAGGAACATGTGGGTGAATTACTCGAGGTCTGGACCAGTGAGAGAGTGAAGGAGGGAAAGAGCCATACCTGAGGGCACCCGTTCTTGTTGACCTGAGGAACATCGAAGTTTATCACGGATGGAATAGGGAAGGAGAGTGGGGTGATGGGCAACCCCAGGGAGGCTGGGTCCTTGTTCATCTGACTGACCCTGGGGAGGCAAAGAGACAGGGGTCAAGACATGAGTGCCTCAGGCATACAGCACTCTTGGCACTGTGCCTGGCAGCCAAAGGCCCCCAAGTGGGCTTGGGGTTGATGTGAGAGAATGCAGTGGCCTACCCAGGACAGGTAACAGGCCCTGATCCTTCTGATCACTAGCTGGGGCACTGGGAAAGCTCGTCTTTGCCAGGGGATGGGCTACAGCTTCCAGGTTTCCTTCCCCATAACTCCCCAGTCTGCTCTCAGGAGGTGTCGGAGCTGCCCCATAACTCACTTGGCCACATCTAAATGCCTCAGCTGCCTATCTTTAAAATGAGCCTTGCATCCTGTCTCACCTTTGGAAGACCCTGCCAGAATGGCCCACCCCCATGGTGGGAATCCTGGTTTAGGCTTGGGGGCATGGAGGCTGCAGGGGTGGGATTCAGGGCGCACTCTCTGAGCTCATAGGAGGGCTGGGACTCAGCTCATCAGTTATCTTCATTCCTCCAGCCAGCAGGGAGGGCTCACAGGTTGTCAGAATTCAATAGGTGGTGCAGGTGAGTGAGGGAGTTCATGAAAGTGAGTGACAGAAGCAAAGGGCTCCAGGAGATGGTGCTGTCACAGAGGGCGCATGCTCATGGGGGAACTCGTCGCACTGTATGGTCTCCAGTGGCCGAACTAGCCTTAATTCCCTCCTGAGGTCTGTGAATTCCCCAAACCCAAAAAGAGGTCTGGGGGAAGGGTATGAGCTGGGGCTGCAGCCAGGGAGACCTCCAGGAGGGCAAGGGAGGGGACTTCTAGGCAAGGCTAAAGGTCATGAAGTTCTGAAATGACCATTAGGCCACCTCCTTTGGGACAACCACCAAATGGTGAACCACTCTGGCTCTGAATTCTAGTGGTGGGTATGAGATGGGGAGGTAGATTTAGAAGGGCTGAGGATCCCCTTTCTTCCTGTGTATGCTGGTTCCCCCCAGTCTGCTCTCAGAAGGGGTCTGAGCTGTCCCTTTCCAGGGGCTGTGGGCAGCTTCCTGAGAACTCAGTCCCAATGGGGAGGCTTGAAGGGAGGGCAGGGTTCTAGCCATCCCCCTCCTCTGTCCTCTGCCCTCCCCTCCCTCCTTGCTCACACCACCTGGGCCTTACTCACTTAAACTCCTTGTAGTTGGGAACCACCCGGGCAATGACCACCATGGGGCTGGGGTTGTTGCTTAGGGGCTCGTTGATTCCCCGAAGAAAGACCTTGGGAAGAGAGGAGGCAGGTGACCATCATGCGGCTTTGGGCCCTCTCGGGGACATGATCAGCTAGCCTGCCTGCCAGCTTTCTTCCCCAAACTGGGCTCGTTCCTGCCTCCATACCTCTACACCTACTCCTGCCTGCTCCTGCCTCACTAGGGTCTTTTTCTGCTCAAGTCTGCTGTCCTTCAGGCCCTGAGCCAGGCCGCAGGCCGGCCGGGAGAGAAGGCGCAGATCTGTTCCGCGTACCTCCACTGCCATCCCAGGCAGCTTCTGACTTGGCTCCGGCCCTCACCCCTTGTCCAACTATGGGCTCCCATTCTCCCCTCAATTCTTACCCAAAACCCCCCAGCTGAGATTCCTGTGGCTCCTTTTACTTCTCTGACCCCTCACTGGCCTCTGCTTCTATTCCTGTCCCTAATCCATCCCCTTTCCCAGGCAATATGATACACAGTGGCAAAAACTGCTTTCTTAAAAATAAACTGGGTTATGTCATTCCTTGCTTGAATGACCACCCCTTAGAATAAATGCCATAATTTTTGCCATGATAGTCAAAGCCTGCACACATTGGCCTGTCTGCTCCTTGGTCCACATCTACTAGCCCTCTAGCCACCCTCTTTTCCCTCCAGCCTCTTTTGTGTCACTTTCAACTGTCCCACTTATTTCTACCCCAGGGTCTTTGTATGCGCTGATCTCTCTGCCTAAACTCCCCACCCCACCCCCACTAACTCAGTGGCTTAGCTGCTTTTCTTCCTTTAGAGCTTAAGTGTCACCTCTCCTCTGTGACCACTCTTCCTCAGTAGCCCGCCCATTCTCTCAGCCCTGGATGGCACTCATCATAGCTTGTGTTTATTCTAATTTCTTTCTTGTTTATTTTTTGTCCATTTGACTATAACCCAGGCTCCACAGGGGCAAGGACAATGTCTACCTCATTGACGGCTGTATTTCTAGCTTTTAGCAAAAGCACCTGACTCAGAGCAGAAGCCCCATGTGTGTTTGTGGGATAAATGAGCGCCATTAATGAAGGAGAAAAGGGGAGGAAAGGGAAGAAGAGGCTACCTGTGTTTATGAGTGTGAGAGAAACAGAACCAGAAACCTGAGAGGGGAAGGAGGAGACTAGCAGTGGCCTCCAGGAGGGGCTGGGGCTGAGCTGGTCTTGGGGGCTGGGTGGGAATCCTTGCTACAGGTCTACTTCAGCTCAGCCACTCGTTAAGTCTGGGTCACTCTGTCACTGTGGCAGTCCCTGCCCCACTCTGGACCTCAGTGTCCTAACTTGTACATGGAGGGGTTGACCATCCTCTCTCCCTGATCTTTCTAGCTCTGGTCTTCAGTGGGAGGAGAATACGTCGAAGTAGGAGTAGGGACTAATTCTGGATCCCTCTCACTTTTCTCCTTTCCTCCACCCCCGGCATCCTCTCCTAAGCCCTTCGGTCAGGACCCATCTCAGCTGGCTGTCAGCAAACTGCACACAAGTGTGAGCTGATAAGGGTTTAAAATAGTGCTTAGGGCCTTTTGACTGTCACTGGGACCTCTGGAGACTGAACCTCTTAACCAAATACAAATTATGAAATCTCTGACGATGGCATTTCAAACTTTGGATAGGGGTGGGAGCCTGGGCCTGAGGGATTTTACTGAATCGCTGTCAGGTTCTATTGCTTACAGGGACTCCAACAAGTGTAAGGGCAAAGAGAGGGATCTGAAAGGGGGGAGACTAACTTACTAGTGTTCTGGGCTGAATGGTCAGATGTTGAATGAGATAGCTGCCCACGCACACCTGCTCATGACAGCCCTGTGAGTAATAGGAGCAACTTCTTCTCCGGCTGTGCTCTCTGGTCTGCCCTCAGGAGCCTACAGGGAGACATCTATGCTGCGGCAGGGGCGTGGGCAGGGTCCTGGGGAGCAGAGCGGCCCTGACTCTCCAGGGTGGGGCACGTATTGGCATCCAAGGGGTGGCTGTGGGGAAGCAGACGTGTGGGCCAGGAGATCTGTGCTCACATACCCTTGGGGCTCCATGTCCTGAGCTGTGAAATGGGACTGAAGAGCGCTTCTTGCCTGCCAGCGCAGTGTCATGAGGCAGGTCGGATGACCCACGTTGGGGCAGGAGAAGCTGAAAGCTTGGGCTCTCCTGGCTCTACCCTGAGCATACTCAGGCCATGGCTAGGTTAGAATCTGTCTCTCCTGGGCAATTTGAAGACTGGTGGAGGGGGAAGGAGAGGGGTTAAGTCTCTGGACTATAGCTTCCTGGAGCATTGCTAGTCAGTCCTCCTAAGGCTGTGAAAGGCTTAGGTGTAGAAAATAATGGTGGTGGGTGTGTGTGGAAGCAGGACCTGGCCTGGTCTGGCTAATGGAAGAGGCCCCATAAATAGTTGTTGAACAAACGAATGAATGGATGGATGGATGAGTACCTAATTAGAAGACTAGCCAAAGCTCTTCAGAAATAGGATTCAAGGAAATGTAGGGTGACCCTAAAACTTTCGCTTGGGGGATGTAGGCCCCCGGTCAAGGGTCACCACTCTGGGAGGGACAGACAGAACAGGAGAGAAACAATCAGAGGATGTGAGCCAAGGTGGGGGCTTTTTCTGTCCCCATGAAATTTAGACAGACATTGGGTTTTGGGGGCCTCTATCCTCCCTGCAGCACTCCCTGCATGGTGTGTGAGGAGCAGAATGAAGAAAGGCAAGGTTAGAGCAGGGCTGTATGCCTGAAATTGCTAAAAATGTTAGGCATCATTTATCTTCATTTCCATCCATCATCCCTGCCATCCCAGGGTTAGTCTTCACAAACCATTTGAGCTATTTTGAAAGGCCTGATTGCTTTTCTCTTCTTGATTTCTTCCCCAGACACCTCTGCCCCATGCTGTCAGGCTGACCAGAGGTGGCCAAGAACCGGGCCTGGAGCCTGTCAAAATTTGGCCCCTTTCCACCCTGCCCTGTCCCAAGGGCCCAGCCCAGCACCTCCAGAGCTGTCAGGTTACAGCCGGCTTGGCGGGGGATGAAGCTGCCCTTCCGGACAACTGTTGCATACAGTTGGGTCTTGGCAGTGACTTCGTCAGCTTTCCCAGTCTCTGTGGGCTGGGAACAGGGTCAGGGAAGAAGACACACAAAAAGAATCTTGACTGAGCAGACCTGGCCATAAATCCAGCTGTCCCCAGACAGGCACTGGCATTGCTCCACCGGGGCGCCGAGCTGATAATTAAAGGGTTCCTGTGAGGCCTTCCAAAGAGATCAATATAATAAATCTTCCTCTGCCTATTTGAATATTTCATCGCCCTCACAAGGACTATGCCTGCAAGCTCTCTTGGTAAAGATGTGATAACTAGGCCCTGGCCGGTTTGGCTCGGCGGTTGGAGCGTCGGCCTGCGGTCCTGAGCAGACCCGGGTTTGGTTCCCAGTTGCAGTTTGTCCCCAGCCCTGGTCGGTTGTGCGGGTGGCAGCCACTCGATGTGTCTCTTTCACATCGATGTTTTTCTCTCTCTCTGTTCCTCTCTCTCCCTCCCGCTCTACCTGAACAAAAGGTGGAAAAATGTCCTTGGGTGAGGATAAAAAAAAAAAAAAAAAAAAAAGATGTGATAACTAGGCTTGGACAGAGAGCCAGGAGGCCTGGGTGATACTCCCAGCACTACAATTGAAGTGCTGAGTCTTCCAGGTGAGTCAATAATCTCTCTGGGTTTCATTTCCTTGCCTCATCCTGAGGCCCTCAGTGTGGGGTTCTCCTTGGGGCCAAGGGATCGTGCAGGCTCCTGAGCTCATGGTTGAGAAGTCGCTTGAGGAGGTCAGTACCAGAGCCTGGGGAAGGGAGTGAGGAAGGGAACTAGCCTGAACTGAGCACCTATTATGTGCTGAGCACCTTGCTAGGTGCTTTATGCTAATCATTGTACTTGATCCTCCAAAAAGCCATGTTAGGAGGTATACTGTCTAAATTTTGTTGATGAGGAATGGAGGCCTGGGGGTTAAGCAGCTTCCTATGGATATACAGCTGGCAGGCAGAAGACCTGAGAGAGGAACCCAAGCAATCCAGCTTCGCACTGTTCTTTACTCTGAACCTCTGTAGGGGTCTGGGTGCACAGTGGAGGATAGGGAATGATGCCTCTGCAGTCCTCTGGCCCAGTGCCTGGCACACGGTAGGTGCTTAATCAGTACTTGAGCAATGAGAGATTAAATTCTCCTTTCCACCAATCAGCACTGGGGAGAGGGGACAGTCATGGGAGCTGGCCTGGGAGGTTCAGGCCATAAAATGAGGAGCCTAAGGCTCACTAGACGGGTGTATTCCAGAGAACACCTCATCTTCCATATCCCCACTCTCCTCGGGCTTCCTCCTGCCAAGGTCACATGTGGCGGAAGCACAGGGTGAACCGGTTTAGGAGATGGCATGACCTGGACTCACCCTTGACTCTGCTTCTCACTTGCTCTGTGACCCAGGATGAGAGGATTCCTCTCTCCTGCGTCTCAGTCCTATGTATGCAAAGTATAATTCATCTTGAGGATTAGAGATGGTGTGTGTACTGTCCAGCCCAGAACCTGGAACATAGCAGGTACTTTGTAAATACTGTATTGCTTTCATTTTTAGATATACTCCCACTCTTTCAACATATATGAAATCAGAATATATCTTCAGTTGGTGTATTCATTTAGTGTGGTAGTTGTTTTATGCCAATTTATGAAGATAAATTTGGAGAATTCCAAATTTTGTGGATATCATTCCTGTCTATTTGCCAGGAGATGTGTTTCCTGAGCCCTACAGGGTCCTAGATTGGTTAGACTGCAGGGTGGGCATGGATGCCCAGGATCACTCTGAGGGAATAGCTGGGGGTTCTCCCTCTGCCTGTCCTAAGCCCATGTGGGCCAGAGCCCAGGGCTCTGACTCACCTTCACCAGCTCAAAGTGGTAGGGGTGAAAGACATGCAGGTACTTGATGGGGATTTGATAAAACAATAGCTCCTCTTTTTTCCTGTTGTCCACCACCTTAATGATCACATCTGGAGAGAGAAAAAGTGAGCACAGGGTTAGGAACAGGCTTAACTGAACACTATCCCTCCCACGGCGGTGAGAGACATTGCTGAGAGTGGGGAGCAGGGGCCACGCTGAGGAGTCCATGTGCACGCACACATGTGGGACACACACAGGCACACTGCACACGCACTGTCTAAGTCCCTGTGCAAGACGAGGCTTTATGTTAGGTACTGCTAGAACCCAAAGACACAATTCTCGCCTGTGGTCTAGAAAGTCCCAGCCCAGGGATGAACATGTGCAGAGCTGAGCCCAGCCCCCATGGCAACAGACACACGTGAGCACAGAGACACACAGGCAGGAGTAGCGCCCCTTTCCAGAAATAAGGCTCCTTCCCTTGGTCACAAACACTCTCATCTCTTCCTCAGGCAGGGATTATCTCTCACATTTTGAACATGGGGAAGAGAGATCTGCCCAAGAAATTGTCAGTACAAATATCAATAAAAGTCTTCTCCAAGTAAATGAGAACTAAACACTAAGAATGATGCACCACTTAGAAAACTTTCTCTGAAGAAAAGAAAAACCCTGCCCCTCTCCTAATTTTGTTGTAGGGAGGGGAATATGTTTTTCAAGCTATAAAATTCTAAGTAAGTACTCCTCATAGCTGTCACTATGTTCCTCCTCATTACCCATCTGTAGCACTCTATACATTCACCCAGCCCCGAGCAGCCTGAAAAGTCTCAGTCGGGGATTCCAGTGTTCCAGCTAAAGCTACAAGGGTAGATGGGCCCCTGAGGCCCCAAATTCGGTTAGAATTTGCTGCAGTTAAACAAGGGCTGAGTGCCCTGCCTTTCTCCCCTACCCCAGTCTTTGGCGTGGGCAGCCAGCAGATGAGCTGATCCCAGGCCAGGTTCACAGCCATCCCTTCCTGTTCCTGTCTCTATGCTACAAACATGCTTCATTAGCTGCTTCTCTGGGCACCATGCCCCCCGACCTCCCACCTGTCCTTTGCGTGGCCAGCAAGTCATTTTTTTTCCCCTGCCTGCTTTTGCCCTGGTACAGGGTCTGCAACTCCCCTTTGCTTTTCATTAACACATCACTGAGCTACCTCCTGCCCTTCCCCCACCTCTTGGCCATCCCCCCTCCCCCCCTCACTGCAGACATCACCACAGCAACCATTTCCAACAAGCATCCAGCTACTTCAATCTGCAAAGAGGTGTCTGACAACATTCCCTGCCTTCCCAGGAAGGTCCCCACCTCCTGTCCCTCCTACAGTGAGTCCTGCTTCCCTCTCTGCTGCACAGACAGGCCCAAGGCCACTCATCACATCCTTTCTTGTGTTACCCCAGATGTGTGGAGCCCAGGGCAGGATCCCAGTCCAGGTTCACTCACCACAACCCCAAACTTTCTATCAGCCACATAGATGCATGGATACACACACACACACACACACACACACACACACACACACACACACAAGCATGCCTACAGGCAGTCACAAGCACATTTTTGCACATATACAATGTTCACATACACACACACACACACGAGCCAGCATGCAGATATTTAAAAAGACACATACACACAGATGCACACCTGCGTTTGCATGAAGTCCTAGGTCAATTTTTTCCTCCTCTTTCACATTTTTTCCCAACAGCCCCATCTATATCCCTTTATAGTGGAAAAAAACCCTCTGGCTTGATCCAGAACAAGCCTCTTTCCCTTTTATATGTGTCCCTCTTCCATCTTTTCCTCTCTCCCCTTTCACTGGCTTTCAGAGCAGCCAGCTTTCTGCCCCTTGTGAGGTTTGGTGAGGTTTCAAGGAGAGATGTAAAGCCTCCACTCTGAGAGGACACCTATGGGATGGGAGCCTCAGGAGGCGAGAGACACCGACGGCACCGGTGGGTGCGTGCTGACCGTGCCCGAGGCCGGCGCCCACGGCTGTCCTGGCATCAGCCAGTCACTGCTCCTGAAGCCCAGCCTGAGCTCTTGCCTGCTCAGGCCCCAGTGGAGAAAGCAAAAGTGTGCACACACATGCATGCACCCTAAATTGCCTGCAGCGTTAGAGTTTGTCAAGACAAATTTGTCAAGTGTTAGAATTTGTAGCGACTGGAAAGGCTTCTGGGGGTGGAGGAGTGAGGGTTATCGGGTGGTTTCCGTGAGGGTAGACCCCAACCCTTGGAAGCACAGGAACACTACTATGTGACTGTGGACAGTGCCCGGGGAGGACAAGGCAGCAGAAGGAACCATTCTAGGAAAACAGCTAGACCACGGGACCTATGGTGAGAGCATGCAATGCTGAGTCCTCCGTCCTCCATTACTGAGTACTTGAGCTTGAGCCCGTTACTTAAGGTCCTTGAACCTCAGTGTTCCCATCTAAGCAATGGGAGCAGCATTGTTCTTCCTGGCAGTGTGACCCCTCTGAGCGATCCCTGGGGGTCTGCCAGGAAGCTGTAATGTGCCATGCCAGTGGGAAATGCAGTAATAACAACTGTGGAAATAACAATGGTCATAAAGAAGATAAACTTTTATTGTCTGGAAAATTCATTTATGTAGGACAACTCATTTTTCCAGCAGGCTGGGTAGATGAGGCATGACAGTATTATGATTTTTTTCTTTAGAGTGCTTTAACTGAGCCCAAGGTAGGTGGCTTCCAGCTGAGTTGAGACGGAGCCCGCTCCTGCTCCCTCCCCCGCACCCCAGGCCCACCCAGCCCCCTGCCTCACCTTCTTGCCCCACATCCTCAGCTTGGACCTCCAGTGTGACTGTGTCCCCCCAGGTGGGGGCTTTGCTAGGCTCCGAGGTCACAGATGTGACTGCCTTGGAGTTCTGGTTCTTTGCTTCCTCAGACGTGGTTTTCCTGGGGAGAGCAGGGACAGGCTGAGTCAGAGGGGGTTGTCCTCCTGCCCCTTACCCCTCCCAGCTCCACAGTCCATAAATCTAGGCAAAGAGTGGACAGAGCAGAGAGAGATCCTTCCCAGGCAGACACCCGTGTCATCCCAGGCCCAGAGGGAGCCGCGTCTCTCTTCCACTGTCTCGCTGGCCACCTCTGAGGCCTTCACATGGCCTCAGGCACCAGAGCTCAGGGTGGGGTGAGAGCGGGAGACGCCTTGCCTGTCTGACCTCCTGCCCCTGCCAGTGCAGAGCCCCCAGCACCGTGCTGTATACACAGACCCCCCACCATTGTCTTGACCATCTTCTCTAGGTTCTGTTTGGTGGGAGAAGGCTCTGGGCAGGGTGGCTGTATAATGCTACCTGGCTGGCCTCACCTTTGCCCTTCACTCCCCTAAGCTTCTGGCCCAGATTCCCAAGGCCTAGCCCAGCTCCCCCAGCTCTGAACCCTTTGGATGGAGCCCACACATGCTACTGCCTTCTGCAGACCCACTGTGTGCTGGGCCCTTGGCTGGGCACCTGGAGCTGGGCACTGGGTGGGGTGAAGGGGTTCTGGCCCTCAAGCACTCACAGATGGTGCAGTGCCAAGCTGTCTAAGGTGAGGCTGGAGCTTGGGCCCTCTGCATCCCAGTGCATCCCACAGGTCTGCGGGCTAAGTGTCCCTGAGATCCAGAGCCACCGAACAGCTCCTTGAGAGAGTTGATACCTGTTCTGTTGAGGAAGTTTTTATATCAGGGCCGTAAATGGTGCAGCAGTCACAGAAAGGGGTCATTCGGAGAGCCTGCAGCGGGGAGAGCCTAACCAAACACTCAGGGCGGGAAGCAGAGGTGGTGTCCTCACCAGCCTTGGTCCCACTCCCAGAAGTCCCCAAAGGGAGTGTGGGGCACGGGAGTCAATCTGCCCCACGTTAGCAACACCCGCCTGTGGCCCTTCCCGGGCCCGACGGTTCCTCTCCGAGAAGCCCTCTGGACCCCCGGCGCTCACTGCTCCCTCGGTCCTGGGGGCCAGCCTGACACAGTGGCCTGGCTCCTGCTCCCTCCTTGTCCCGGCCTTACTCCTGTGGATATCCAATCTTGTAGGAGCCCTGTCTCCAAGCTCCAGGGGTCACCTGAGCACTCCCCTTCTGCCCTGAGGGGTAGTGTGGCATAGCGGTGACAGCAGGCTCCTTGAGTCAGACCTCTGGGTTCCAAGTCCCAGCTCTGTACCTTACCAGCTGTGTGCCTTCGGGCAAAGTACGTAACCTTGCCGTGTCTTCCTTTTCTGTGTGAAATGGGGATGATAAATGCAGGGTTACTCTGGGCATGAAGTGAAATATGTGTGAAGTGCCTGCCACATTGTTAAATATCATAAAGTGTTAATAATGATAATAATTTTAATTTTAATTATCCCTGGTCTGGTGTCTCCCCATTGTGTCCCCAACTCTGGGTTTATAAGTGGGGGGCTCTGGCTGCGGTGACCAGAGTGTGAAGTCCTAGAAGAGCACAGGTTTGAGCCCCGCAGAGCTGGGTTCGGAGCCCACAGCTGTCTTCCAGCTGTCCCCACACTCTCGGAGCCACAGCCGCCTCCTCTCCGAATAGTGCTGCCCTCTAGGGTTCTTGTAAGGGCGGGTGTGTGTGTGTGTGTGTGTGTGTGTGAGTGTGTGAAGTTCTTATGCACTGGAGTCCCAGGCCTGAGAGCCCCTCATTTGTGTTATGAAACAACCTGGGTGTTTCTCCAAGGGACTTGACTGAGGGCCCCATGAAGGGGGAGAAGGGAAGTGCTGAGGGGGGCTGAGATGAGCAGGCTGGAGTCCCCCTCAGACTCCGGGCCCACCCTGCCAGGGGCTGCCAGGCTCGAGAGGAAAGGTCACCATTGCTGGAGGGCCTCGGAGCTCAGCCTGCCGCACCTCGGGCCCTCCCTGGGCTCTGCGACCTCTGCTGCCTGACCGGGCCTTCTGCACCCCTCCGCCTACTGCTTTGCACCCTGGTTCTGTCTCCTGACAGCTGCCCTCAGAGTCAGAGGCCTTGGGACTCTCGGCAGCCTCTCACCGCTCTGCCCGCCTGCTCGGTGCATCCCCACAGGATGTTCAGCTCCACTCGTCTGCGGAAGCACTAAGTGTAGGTGGGGTGTTCCAGGAAGGTGTGTAAGGAGGAAGTCAGTCCTTCTACATCCCAAACATCAAGCTCGCTCCTGCACCATGCACAGTTATTTGGAAACCCCTGGAGGCTTCCCAGTGCACCGAGAAGACAATCAAGGGCGAGTGAGGGACTTGTCACAAGCAGTGCAGTCACAAAATTCAGGTTGGAACCCATGACCATGGTTTTAGCCTGTCTTTCATCCTCCTAATATCTCTGACTCTTGTCCCCTCCCCTTCTCTACACAAGCTCCTGGTGTCTGGCAAGAGGAAAGCCAGGTAGAAAGACAGAAAGGACCATGAGCAAGGCCAAGGAAACCTACTACGAGTGCTGACTTCACTGAGGCATATAAAGAGTTAAGCAAGCATCTCTCCTCCCTTCCCTCAGACAAACACCAGAGAGGTGGGTCAGGGCTAGGTGAGTGGAGATGAAATAACTCGAAGGGTGAGGCCCCAGGGGAAAGAGGGAGCTTTTAGCAGGTGGAGGGAGGCTGTCAGGGTAATGGCTTTTCCTGGAGCAGCTGACTCCTCCGGGTCTTGATGCTGTTCTAGAAACTGCAGAGCTAGAGGGGGCCTCTGATTCCACACAGAAGTGGAGAGGGTCCCAGCTCACATCCTGCTCCCAGTCCTTGTTCTGTGCCCACAGCTGGGCACATGAGTTCTAGAACCCTCAGGGTCCTGAGGGGACTCGGTCTCCCAGGCCAGTCTCAGAGCCCAGGGGCTCTCCAGGACCTGCTTCCACACAGCCATCTGCAAGATTGATGCCTTCTCCCTGTTCCCAGAGCCCTGGCCTGGCCTCTAGCAGGGCCTGGGGGGCTGCTGTCAGCCCCCTGCCCTGGGGCTCAGACTTAATCCAGCCATGGTGGGGAGGGTTCAGAGACACAGTGCAGCAGTCCTGGGTCCAAAGCTGATGGGAAACGTACCGCCCCCCACACCCCAGCCTGGCTGGGTGCTGGAGGGTTGTGTGTGTGTCTGACAAACTCCAGCCCGGTGGCCCTGTGGGGTCCAGCCCAAGCACAGCTGTCAGTGAGAGAAAAGATGAAGGACTTTGTTGTCCTTCTGTGAGGTCATAACTAAGGCAATATGTGGTCTGGTTCCCAGGGGCTGCTCCTGTGAGCAGAGGTCAGCGGTGGAAAAGTACATTACATTGATGGAGGGCTCACAAGCTCCCGAGCCACCCCCACCCTCCACTGTCCTCTGAACACTCTCCAGGGCACATACCTCAGGGGTGGAACCTGTGTGCCACTGTCCCTGCCTACACACACACACACATGCACGCACGCACACACACACGCACACACACACACACGCACGCACACACGCACACACGCACGCACACATGCACAGGCTGCCCCACAGAGGTTTGTGTGCCATGCTGTAGCCGACCTCTGATCCCACCCCATCTGCCAGGCATCAAGCTGCCTCCCAGGTCTCCAAAGGCCACCTCCAGCACCTGCTCAGCCTGTCCTCTTGGTCTTCCACACTCCTCAAAGCCTCAGAGCATAAACAACAGTCAAGGTCTGCCCTCCTCTTGGGCAGGTCTTTGGAAGCCCAGGACACAGGCCACCTGGCTTGTTCTGAGTGCCAATCCCAGGCAGCCCTCAGAATAAAGGGGACAGGAGCAGGCCCAAGTTTGGGTCTGTTCTGGTTGCTGGGGTCCTGGCTGGGCAGACCCCGGAATCTTGAAAGACCAGAAGGATGCTCCCAGAAGCTTATAGGGAAAAAGATAATTGGGCAGACTGAGAAGGATGTATACCAGGCAGAACTTCTGGATGGATGGTTTTAAAATGAGAGGTCCCGTGGCCTTTTGACCTAGTCCACCATAGCCCTGTTCGCTCACTCACCTGGGAAACTTGGAGGTGGGGGAACAGGTTCACATTAATATTGTCCCAGCCCTGGCTGCTGTGGCTCAGTTAGTTGAGCATCTCCTTGTGCACCAAAAGGTCACTGGTTTGATTCTTGGTCAGGGCACATGCCCAGGTTGTGGGTTTGATCCCTGTTCAGGGTGTGTATGGGAGGCAACCGATTGACATTTCTCTCTCACATTGATGTTTCTCTCCCCCTCTCCCTTCCCCTTTCTCTAAAAATATAATTTTTTTTTTTTTTTTTTAATCCTCACCCGAGGACATTTTTCCATTTTTTGTACAGACAGAGTGGGAGGGAGAGAGAGGAAGAGAGAGAGGGGGAAACATCGATGTGAAAGGGACACATCAAGTGGCTGCCACCCGCATGACCAACCAGGGCCGGGGACAAACTGCAACCAAGGTACATGCCCTTAGCGGGAACCGAACCCGGGCCTCTCCAGACCGCAGGCAGATGCTCTAACCGCTGAGCCAAACCGGCCAGGGCTCTCTAAAAATATAATTTAAAAAACCATATATATATATACTTAAAGATTTCTCCAAGCCAGATGCCAGGTGTGTCATGACTGGGCTTCATTTTGCCCTAAGAAGGCCAGGCAGTTCCCCTCTACCTGAACCCTCCATACTGGCCTCTGAGTCAGAAAAGCCAGCCTCCCCCACCCTCCAGGAGGTCAAGGGGCAGCCAGACTCCCAGGCCACAGGCCTATCTCCATCCCTGGAAAGCACGGAAAAAAAATCAATCCCTACTCCTCAAACCAGGAGCCCAAGCTTATGCATTAGGGACAGGATGGGAGAGTTGTCCTGGGCAGGAACAGTCATCTGAGCAGGGTGGCCTAAGGCTGGATTCTTGTGTTTCTGACCCTTCTGGACTTGAATAGATGGAGAGGAAGGGGAATGAGCTGGCTTGTGGGCAGGTCTGGGGAGGCTCTGGCTGCCTGATTCAGGTCTGTGGGTTGGAGCATGGGGTAGTCAGAGAAGAAAGCAAGGCTTGTG